TTGTTGCCTTTGTATGTCCAACACTGAGCGCAGAATCACAGTATGGCCTGGGTTGAAAAGGACCACAATGATGATCTTGTTTCAACCCCCATGCTATATTCAGGGTCAGCAGACCAGGCTGCCCAGAGCCACATCCAGCCTGGCCTTGAAAATAGCTAATAGGATCCCAGGCCAACCTCGAAGTTTTGCACCCTGTGTTTTCAGGAGCTGGCAGCTTTCCTGCTCGGAGGGAGGGACTGATGTGAGAAGTGCGAGGGGAAAGGAAAAAGTTGTGGGTGGAAAAATGAGGGTGGAGGCTTCAGCTATCTGTGGGGCTATTTATTTGTCCAGCTGTTTCTTTATCTGTAACGAGTTTGGAGCCTGCAGATGCAAAGGATTTACCAGGACTTCTGAGAAACTCAGGTCCAGATGGTCTAAATTGGTCGAAATTGGCAAAACTCCATGGACGTTGTTTTTCCGGACACAGAGAAGTGTGTCTGCAGTGTGCACAGATCCTCTGTTAATCCCTTCCAGCCTCTCTGCCACTATCCCTTGCTCCTGTCACTCTCCAGTCTCCTCTCTCTGGTCACAGCCAGCACTTTGTCCTCTGCTCACGAGTCTCAGGTGGGAAAAGTCATAGAATCACAGAATGGCCTGGATTGAAAAGGACCACAATGCTCATCTGGTTCCAACCCCCTGCTGTGTGCAGGTCACCAACCAGCAGCCCAGGCTGCCCAGAGCCACATCCAGCCTGGCCTTGAATGCCTGCAGGTCTGGGGCATCCACAACCTCCTTGGGCAACCTGTTCCAGTGCCTCACCACCCTCTGGGTGAAAAAATTCCTCCTAATATCCAACCTAAACCTCCCCTGTCTCACTTTAAGACCATTCCCCTTTGTCCTATCACCGTCCACCCTCATAAATGGCCATTTCCCCTCCTGTTTGTATGCTCCCTTCAAGCTTTCGAAGGCCACAATGAGGTCTCCCTGCAGCCTTCCCTTCTCCAAGCCAGTGCAGTTGAGACCCCCACACTCACTTCACTCATGGCTGAACAGCAGGAAAGGCATCCAGAAGTGCAGGAGCCTCTCTCAGGTCAGTGCCACTGCACACCATCAGCCCACTGGTGTCTGAGCATAACCATGAGCATCCCAGAGGCCACGGTGTGGTGACAGTGATGCATCTCTGCATGCAAAGTGCTCGAGCTGGATCCCAGAGCGTGGCAGAGGCTGCAGACCCTGAGATGCTCTCATAGCAGCAGTGCCTCCCCTGGCCGTGCCGGCAGCGGCCCCAGCACTGGCAGAGAGCTGCTTATTGAAAGCATCTTCAAAGTGAAAAGGACAGGCACTTATCTCCTAACCATCCCGTGGGGAGCAGTGCGGTTTCTGGTGGGAGGCAGGCCAGAGTTGCGTCTGCTAGTTTCGAGCAGCTGTAGATTTATTTAGAGTGCTGTGGGTAGCATGTGAATCCGCGGATAAACACACGGGAGGGAATAACACAAACAAAGATATTGAGAAAACGCTGCTCTGGCAGGAGCATTTCACTGAGCTGCGACTGTAGGCAGCCACCCCTGCCACCCCTGGGGGCTTAGCAGTGCATCGTCACCATCACCAAAGGGTTGATGCTCTGTGCGGGGTGAAGGGGTCCCACGTCTGCTGCCAAAACTGGAGGATGGCACCGTGAAGGAGTCAGCTGTGACAGTGAGCAAAGCTGCCAGATTTGCTGTTTGAAGCAGGGAGTTTCTCTCCTCCGTGGTTTGCGGAGCGATGGGTTTTGGGGGCTTGTCACGGCTCGTGTTGGTGATTCACCTCATGTACAGCTGATGCCTTGGGACCCAGAGCTCCTGCCTTCAGCTGTGGAGGTCTGAACTGATCAGAGTGTGGGGAGAGAGGCAGAGGGAAGATTCTGCAGATGAGAAATACAGTGGTTCGTTGGACATCTCACCTGGTTTTATTTGCTGAAGTGTGTGCTCCCTTCGTATAGCAAAAAGCAACTTCACAAGAACGAGACATGGACAGTGTGAGATGCTTTCGTCCAGGTACACACGCAAGGTAGCTCTGTGGCATACCATTATTTTTGGGGTTGCCCCATCCCTGCAGATGCCCAAGGCCAGGTTGGATGGAGCTCTGGGCAGCCTGACCCGGTGGGGAGCAGCCAGCCCACAGCAGGGGTTGGGGCTGGGTGGGCTTTAGGGTCCCTTCCATCCCAAACCAGTGTGTGATTCTGTGATTATTTAGGCAGTAAGGCATTGCAGTGTGCTTTGAGGTCAAGCATCAATGAAGGAGCAAATGCACCCCCACCCTTGAAATCCAACCTGGCTTCACGTGCACATTCGCAGACAGTGCTGCTAATGAGGTTTGCTCTGATTCGTGGAGATCGGTTATTCGCGATTTTATGGAATTCAGGCAACTACTGCCAAATGCTGACATGTCAACTGATCTCCACATGCTTTCTGGACGTTGGCCAGGATAGCAATTTGCTAGAAAAGATGTGCAAAAAGTCACACAAAGGGATGTTACAGCTGTGTGCTGTGGGGATGCAGTCTTGGGGTCCAACCTATGCAAAGAAAGATAAACAGGAGCCCCAGAGAAGGGGACCTGTTTTAGGATGAAAGACTCTCAGTTACTCTGGTTACCTTGGGGAAGGCTGGGAGGTGATTCATTTGCCACCCTTGAGCAGCACAAGAGGAAAAGGAGGTTTTGGATAACAGAGTCTGAAAGTAAAAGGAAATCTAATAACTGGCAGCTGAGCAGCATAAATTCGGTTTTAAAGTAGGAGAAGATATATATTTTTATGAGAAGATAATTGACCTTTAGAAAAATCTGCTCGAAACCTGCAGTTTTCTGCTCCTTGTTACCGTGTCAAAATGGGATGTCCTTGAGCCAGCTCGGGTAGATGTGTTGCTCCAATGGACAGAGTCATAGAATCATTAAGGTTGGAGACGATGTTGAAGTCCATCCAGTCCAACCCCAAACCATCCCACCGTGCCCGCAGCCCTCAGTGCCACATCTGCACGCTGAACGCCTCCAGGGATGGTGACCCACCACCTCCTGTGCAGCTGTGCCAACACCTCTACACTCTTTCCAACAAGAAATTATTCCTCATACCCAACGTGATTCTCCCCTACAACGTCTGAAGGCCACGTGCAACTCTTCAGCAGAGGATAAGGGGCGATGGGCAAAGTGTGCTTCAGCACTGAGCTGGGCACATGCCCATTGCGCCATGTTTTCCTGGAACAAAATGCAAAATGCTTCAAAAATTGTTTTTCTTTGGGGAATTACGGTATTTTAGAGTGCATCTTGTTTTGCATGACAGTCAGTGTCATCAATAGTTAGGATAAATCAACATATTTAGCATTGTTTTTTTTAAGTAGTGCAGCTCCTAGCTAGCACTGGGTGAAGAATGTTGTTCTCCTTCTAGATCAAAGTGCCACTGGTGTTTTAATGAAAAAGCTGGATACTTTGATAAAATAAACACTGTTATTAAGCTATGTAAACAAAGGCTCCGTTTAAAAAGAAATTTCATAAATCTGAATGACAACATTTTTGGACGAGCTGTTTTCCAGAACTCTTCGTAGTGGGAAAAAATTTGAAAAGAACTATTTTTGCTTTTTACTTTTGGAATAAAACCAAATTTTGAAATGCTGGTTTCCTGTGAACTGGAAACCGCTGGCTCTAAGCAGGAGTGAGTAACAACCCACAGTCTGAAAATGATTTACTGCCAGAAGTAGGTGCAAGGAGCATATCTATGCCGAGGCACTTTTTGGCTTACTAATGGGAAAAGGGAGTTTACATGGACTGAGTAAAAGTCATTTTGCCATCTCTGCATCTAGCCTTATCTCTTTCAGCGATGGATCTGCACAGTGCTGATCTTTTTTTCCTTCATTTTTGTTCAAAGCAGTGAAAGCGGAGAAGGTGGAGATGCTTTTTGGGAATTTGTGGCAGGGTGTTTGGGTTTTCAGTGGTCAGGAGCAGGACACAGTTATAGCCAGGAGCTCTGCGTCTCCACGCCGGCCATGGGAAGTGGTACTGTGTTGGGTCTGTAGGCTGGTGGTTGGAGATCTTGACTATACTGGGGCTGTTCTTTGGGTCTGTAGGCTGGTGATGGGAGAATCTTGTCTATATTGGGGCTGTCATGTTGAGTCTGTAGGCTGGTGGTGGGGAGATCTTGACTATACTGGGTCTGTTTGCTGGATCTGTTTGGTGATTGGAGGTCTTGGCTGCATTGGGGCTCCCTGTTGGGTCTGTAGGCTGGTGGTTGGAGATCTTGACTACATCAGGGCTGTCTGTGGTTCTGTTGGCTGATGACTGGAAATCTTGACTGTATCAGGGTTGTCTTTTGGGCCTGTAGGCTGATGTCTGGAGGCCTTGACTATATCAGGGCTGTCTGTAGGCTGATGATTGGAAATCTTAACTGTATTGGGCCTGTCTGTTGAGCCTGTAGGCTGATGGCTGGAGGCCTTGACTGTATTGTGGCTGTCTATTGGATCTGTGGACTGGTGATTGGAGATCTTGACTGTGTCAGAGCTGTCTGTTGGATCTGTAGGCTGATGACTGGACATCTTGACTATATGGGTACTCTCCTGGTGAGCAAGCTGAAGGTGGGTGTACACCCTGTACATGTGGTGCTTTTTCTTGAGAGCTGCAGAGCTGTAAAAAAGGACTCTTTCCTTGCTTGTGCTGTAGTAATTGGGAGGGCAGGGAAATTGAAGCTGCAAGATGGATTTCATGTTTGTGTCTTGCTTGTGCATGCAGTGTGACCTTCCTAAGCCATCCTCTGCCGCCTTCAGTGCTGATTAGCGATAGCAGCATCTGACCTATTTCTGCCCAAATTGCCTGGAAAATTGGCTTTAATGTTGGTTTAATTTTTAAGTATGGCAAGTCCTTGAAGTGCTTTTCCTTCCTATCTGCTGCTGCATGGCCAAGGATACTGCCTACCATGCAGAAGGCAGAGAAAAAGTGTCCCACTTTTGCAAATGTAACTGGAAGGTGATGGACTGACTCCTTGTTTCCCCTTCCTCCTGCAGAGACACTGATGGACTCCACAACAGCCACGGCAGAGCTGGGCTGGATGGTGCATCCTCCCTCAGGGGTGAGTTATCCTCTTGCTTTATGGCAGCTGGGTGCCTGATCTGGGGTCTCTGACTGCAAGCAAACATAGGTGGGGAAGTCACCTGCTGACATGCTGTGGCTGAATGAAAAGATGAGGTGGGAATAGTATAAAAATGGTGTTTCTGCATCCATGGAAAAGGTGCAGCCATCTCTGTGTCTCACCAGGTTTGCTTGGGACATCAGAGTGCTTCAGAGCATCCTTCCTCTCTGCCTGCGGTGGCCAGGAGCAGCTCAGGGCCGCAGTGTCCACACCCCCAGCCTGCTCCCTGTGTTCCACCAGCTGCTGCTGGGGTGGAGGTAGGGCTGGCAGGGTACCCTCGCAGTGCCCTGAGCCAAGCCATGCCTGCTGGTCTGGCGTCACACTTGCCCTCATATTATGTGCCCAAAGCCAGCCTGGCCCAAGCCCAGTGACTCTGCTTTTCCCCTTTCCCTTTCCCATTTCCCCATTTTCTTTTTTTTTTTTTTTTTCTCCTTTTCCTCTTTCCCTTTTCTCCTTCCCCTTCTTCCCTTTTCCACTTTTCTTTTTCCGTTTCCCCTTTCTTTTTTCCCTTTCCTTTCTTCCCCTTTTCCTTTTCCCTTGTCCTCTTCCCCTTCCCCTTTCCCTTCTCCCTTCCCCTTTTCCCCTTTCCCATTTTCCTTTTCCCCTTTCCTTTCCCTATCCCCTTTTCTCCTTTCCCCATTCCCTTTTCTCCTTTCCCCTTTCCCCATACCCTTTTCTTCACTTTCCCTTTCCTATTTCCTCCTTCCTTTGTTCATTATCCTCTTCCCCGTTTCCTCTTTCCCTTCCCCCTTTCTCTTTCTCTTTCTCTTTCCCTTTTCCCCTTTCCCTTTTCTTCCTTTTCTCTCCTCCTTTCCCTTTCTGCCTTTCCGTTTTCCATTTCCTGCTTCCCTTTTCTCCTTTCCCCTTTCTCTTCTTCCTCTTCTTTCTTCCTCTTCTTTTCTCCCTTCCCTTCCCTTCCCTTCCCTTCCCTTCCCTTCCCTT